CAGCCAGACTCAGGAATGTGCCGACTTCTCCAGACAGGGCCTGGTTGGACTCGAACAGTTCAACATCAGCCAGACTCAGGGATGTGCCGACTTCGCCAGACAGGGCCTGGTTGGACTCGAACAGTTCAACATCAGCCAGACTCAGGAATGTGCCGACTTCGCCAGACAGGGCCTGGTTGGACTCGAACAGTTCAACATCAGCCAGACTCAGGGATGTGCCGACTTCACCAGACAGGGCCTGGTTGGACTCGAACAGTTCAACATCAGCCAGACTCAGGAATGTGCCGACTTCACGAGACAGGGCCTGGTTGGACTCGAACAGTTCAACATCAGCCAGACTCAGGAATGTGCCGACTTCGCCAGACAGGGCCTGGTTGGACTCGAACAGTTCAACATCAGCCAGACTCAGGGATGTGCCGACTTCGCCAGACAGGGCCTGGTTGGACTCGAACAGTTCATCATCAGCCAGACTCAGGAATGTGCCGACTTCGCCAGACAGGGCCTGGTTGGACTCGAACAGTTCAACATCAGCCAGACTCAGGGATGTGCCGACTTCACCAGACAGGGCCTGGTTGGACTCGAACAGTTCAACATCAGCCAGACTTAGGAATGTGCCGACTTCGCCAGACAGGGCCTGGTTGGACTCGAACAGTTCAGGCGCAAACATAACGCATACTGTGGAAATGGTTAAGTTCCCATCTTTACAGCTCGCTTCCACAGTTATTGATCCTCTATCGGTGTCTGCATGTACACTTTACTCCTTTTTGTTTTGTTTGTTATGCAGCGATTTTGAAAAACCAGATTTTAATCTTCTCTCTCTCTCTCTCTCTCTCTCTCTCTCTCTCTCTCTCTCTCTCTTTTTTAGAATTATCTATTTTAACATTACCCGCAGCACATTGTCGCATAGCTGTACCATCTTCCATTCTAACTAACTACCCCAACTCACTATTCTGTCTGCATCTGCCTTTCTAACCCTCAATGGAGCATAGGACCTCAGTGAACTAGCCAAGTCGTTCTATCCGTCGCTATCGCCTGCAGCTCTCCCCATGTCCTCCTCATCTATTTAACCTCACTCTCTAATTCACTTTTCCGTGAGTGTTTTTTTTTTGGGGGGGGGGGGGGGCGGTCCTTTATTCCTATGCCCCTGTGGGTTCCAGTGCAAGGACATTCTAGTTATACTGTTCTCCGGTTTTCACAACGTGTGTCCCACTAAACGCCAGCGTCTTTTCTTCACCTCTTGGTCCACTGGAACTTGTTTAGTTCTCTCCCAAAGCTCTACATTAGTGATTCTATCTTACTTTTAAAATCCCTCCATTTTGCGCAGACACCAGTTAATAGATGTTTGTAGATTAATAGTAACTGTTTTAGCTGTTCTCCATGTTTCTGCTCCATACAACATTACTGATTTGACATCAAAATTTAAAAACAAAATGTAGTTCAGTATTAATTTTAATTTCTGTTGACAATACTGGCCCAGTTTTCAACATTATACTTCCAGTTGTATGGAACTAACGGAGAACTTATACAAACAGTCATTTCCCACGCCTTCAGACGTACTAGGCATATAAGGCTAGACTTATATTTTAAAAACCAATCGGCACTTGGTAGGTGATGTGGTAAGCACTAGATAGGTGATGTGGTAAGCACTTGGTAGGTGATGTGGTATGCACTTGGTAGGTGATGTGGTAAGCACTAGATAGGTGATGTGGTAAGCACTTGGTAGGTGATGTGGTAAGCACTTGGTAGGTGATGTGGTAAGCATCACGTTGTCCGCCATAAGGTAATTTTTTAAAGGAAAAAAAAAAATTCCATATCTTTTTGACCCGAACCTACGACCTTCCGATCCGCAAGCGAGCGTCTAGCCGCTTCACCACGGCGACTCCCTTTGCTGCTTATGCCGCCCCCTTACTGTGCCGCTGCTTATCGGTGTCAGTCAGAAAGTTATCACAAGAACTTGTCGGTCGGTGTAAATCAGAAAGCTATCGCAAGCACTTGTCGGTCGGTGTAAATCAGAAATATATCGCAAGAAGAAGAAAAAACCCAGCTCTGTGTCTCTCGATCAAACACTTCGCATCAACCAACCCAACCCCGCCCCCTTTTTTTCTCTCTCTCTTTGCCCCACCCCCACCTCTCTCTCTCTCTCTCGCACGCCCTCTATCTCCGTCTCTCTCTCTCTCTCTCTCTCTCTCGCGCGCCCTCTCTCTCTCTCACACAAACTCTTCCCTTTCTGTATCAGTCTGTCAATCCTGTTTTCGTTATCTCTCATTCTTCACTTTCACCCACCTTCTTTCTGTCTCTCTCACCTGAACCTTGCCTGCGCTATCTAACTCATCCCTGTTTCTCATTCCCAAACCGCATGTTCGATGTCCGTCTGTGTCCACTCACTCTCCCTATCACATTTCTACCTGTCTACTTCTACCTCCTCTTATTTACCTGCACGTTTGATCGTCTTTTCTGTCTATAAATCTGCATTGTCCTCTCATTCTTACTCTTTAGCTACATGAATGATTGTTTCGTATGTCTATAAATCTACGTCTGATCGTGGATTATGGAGAGGCATGATCGCCCACGCCAGTCGGCAAGGCACCTGATGATGATGATGATTATAGCTTATCAGGAAATAGTCTAAAAATCGAAAGCAAAGTGTTCACTAGACAAACAAACTGTAACTTTAATAAAAAAACAGACTATAACAAGAAGTACAAATCAGATACGAAAAGGCAAAGGCACGTATTTATTCACAAGCGCTGTATTCAAGAAATATCTATGTTAGCAAAGCAATAGAATATAAACAGATTACATACCAACTCTATGCTTCCGGCGGAAAATATCTATAACATTTTCTTGGCTCCCAGGTCGACCAATTCTTAATTGGGTACCAGGGGCAGTCATGGGAAGTAAATGTGGCCGGCGTGGTGCTGACCACATCACCCACCCTATATTCCCAATACGCCGAAGGGCGTAGAAAAGGGACCTTTACTTTATTGATATCATGGGTACAAGAGAGATGAGATGCTTAAATAAAGGTCCACTTTCCACACCTTTAGGCGTATTAGGAATATAGGACTAGACCTATATTTGTATCGACCAATCGGCACTTGGCGGGTGATAGGGTCAATGATAGGGTCAACATCACGTGCTCAGATAAAGCCACAACCAAATTTAACTAACAGAGACAAAGTGAGAAATGGTAGTACGAGACATTGTAGGCACAATCTATCTTATCTTTTTTTTAACCCCACTAGGACATCACACAAGCGATAAACACCCGATGACACAAAGTGCCACCATGTGGATGAGGATCACCCATGGAGAGGTCCCAGAAACTGCGTTCAGCCATTAGACCATATTTATGGTCGGGCTATATTGCGGCCCCTGGCAAGAGCCAGAGTAGGGCTTCAAATAACGAAAAATTGCATCCCAAAAGGGATGAAAATGTAATATAGTGTGGGAACAACACGTTGAGTCAAATACTAAGAGAAACAGAAAGTCAAACAATCTAGGTATTTCATTAGAATGCAACATTAGTTATAAACATAAGCGTTACCTCTAAGAATATCTATTTGTACAAGGAAGGGAAAAAAAGAGCTTCCAAAATGGAGATATATTTTCGCCATGAAAGGCATTGATCATTGCCACTGAAAGACAACAACTGATGTTTTCCACCGAGCGTTAAATCATCTATCCATCTTCACAGTGCTTGGCAACAGAATTTTGATTGGTAATGATTACAATGATTTGATGGTAATACAGAATATGATTATTACAAATGCCATGCTTTTTCACGTCACACTGAACAGTTGATTTGATCACTTATAGGTAACCCATTGAATGAAAACACTTATAGTAGTTAGGTTATTTTCAACTGTTCGTGCAGTTGTAGGCCGACTGTTCGATGTCTATATATTATATTCACCTATTCGGTGTGGGAAGCCTCACCTAGTAGATGGAAACACGCAAGTTTTTTTAAACCACCTATTACACTCTACAACTGTTGTAAAACCGTATACAAAAAGATTTTATTTACCTATTTCAAATCTACACACTTAATCACATACAATGTATGAAACAGGTTCATTCGTTTTAAGAAGGTTTTGTTTAAAAAAAAAAAAAAAAGGTAAATCTCCTTGAACTTGCGATTAAACAAATATTTCTTAAGAAAGAGATGGCACTTACGTTTTGTCTTAAGTTTACATTTAGATATCATTAACTTTTCAATCTTCGTATTCACCAATATACATATATGTATATGTAGTTCCTTTTTTTTTTTTTTGGAATGGTCTTCTTCAATAATTCGTGCTTATTTCTCTTCAAAAAAGTCAGATATTTAAATAAAATGCGATTTTTCTCAAAGCTCTCCTAATTTATTTAGAATTATTGTATCGGTCGATCGTAGGTTGGAAATGATTTGTGTGTGTGTGATTTTATATATATGTATAAATAAGTATATATGGCTATGTGTATATATAAGGCTTGATAACTACCTATATGTTTATTTAGATGTTATTAGCTAAACAAACTGAAGATCGCCAAGTTGCATCTTGCAGTGTAACACAAGAGAGAAGAGAGAGAGAGAGAGAGAGAGAGAGAGAGAGAGAGAGAGAGAGAGAGAGAGAGAGAGAGAGAGAGAGAGAGTAAAACGCAGAGAAGTCATTAATGAATAAATCTGATACTTGTATATATCAATCGCCTACAGAAGTAAGACTCCTAAACCTACAGGGTTGGGCTCAATTAAAAATGAAAGTAGAAACTCTAATGGCTCCCATCCTTTACAATTCTAGTGTTTGTTTGCTCCTTATTCAGCAGGTCAGCTTTTTGCCACGACAAACACTAATAATAGTATCAATTGAGGCTCTACTCCTATTATTAAAATGACAATATATTAAAAAAAATAAATTGCCTTCTAAAGTTTCTGTTAAAATATTCAGTTTATAAACTTATCTTTTTCTTTAAAATGATTTGGTAAAGCTTATCAAGAAGGCATTTCTGGAGTGTTCTCGTTACAGAGCATGCAGCCTGGCGCCTCTCCTCTTGTTATTACTACTGAAGCATTTCTTCTCAGGGAAGAATATCAGACCCGAATGGTGTTCAATCTGGCACAACGGCGTCAGAAAGTTTTCCAGATTAATTTCTTCGCCTTCCTCTGGAGACGAGTTGGGCATCATGTAGGACTCCAGCTCTAGTTGACCATCGTTTGTTTCGATTACGATTACCTAGAAATAAAAATGGCAGTGAGCTTAATAAAAATAGCTAACGTTTTCAAATTAAATGTTATTAGTATTTCAATGTTATAACAGTTAGCTTTTGCCGCGTTAGTGCAGACGATAGGAGGCTCGCTTTCAAATCCAGCTGCGACTCGCTGCAGCCCACGGTCGGTGTTCGAAACCGGGAGGTTCCCGGAGTTCACCCAGCCTCTAGGAAATGGGTACCAGAGATGACACTCTGGGGTGAATAGAGGAACGTCGCTGTAGCTACAGAGTTACGTGCGGACGGCGACACAGGCGGACTGTTTCTTATCAGCTGTCTGTAGTGGTGGCAGAGCACTTATGGTTTATAACCGTGTCCAATGATGCTGGTTCACATCTCCCGACTTTACCTTTAACAGTTTACTTACTGGTAGTACTAATTGTATCTACCGTTAAACCTCGTGGTTGCTAAGAGTTTACTGGTATCAAGTTGACATGTTGTTGTGACCACCTAGATTTAGGCTCGAACCTCTTAACACAATTAATCATACTAAACAGGTTTCCCATAGAGCGCTTTTGGGACTCACAATCGAACCTTGCGCCTTGTCTCCTCTATGCTGCAATATATTAGAAGCGCGACATTTTACTTTTTTTTTAAAGAGACATGGAGCGATTATAATATAAGTGGTTGGATATTGTGGTAGGACGAGTTTTACTTGAACTATTATTTAGTTTAATTTACGGTCAATATTTCTGAAATGTTTATGAAATTCCGTAATTAAGTAAATAAATTTTACCCACCAGCCCATCACACAGAGCGAAAAACACCCGGTGACACAAAGTGACACCACGCGGATGACCACTCGTGGATATATCCCAGAAACCGCGTTAACTGTTAGGCTATATTGTGGCCCCTGTTAACAGCCAGGTTGGGGCTTCAAAATAACAAAAAATTACATCCCACAAGGGGATGACGAAGAACTTATTCTGTAAATGGTAGGTAGGTAGGTAGGTAGGTGTACCTCACCAGGACATCACAGAGGCGATAAACACCCGGAGACACAAAGTGCCACCATGCGGATGAGGATCACCCGTGGAGAGGTCCTAGAAACCCCTATCATCTGTTAGGCCATATCTATGCTCCGGTTATATGCAGTTCTTCCGTCAGAAGCCAGGATGGGGCTTCAAATAACCATAAAATTGCATTCCCCATGGGAACGAATTGGTACTCAGGATAGATATATTCTGTACATGAAAATATTGCAGAAATAATCATATTATGTTCAGTGCACAACTGGTGACACCATTTTTGCATACAGGCTTTGCTTTATTATCTAGTTCTGTGTTTCTAGTATACTTCAAACGTTTAAACACAGCATAGCTGTGCACATTAGGCCCTTACCTCCCCCTCATTTGTTTTTAAAACATGTGTCTTGGTCGACAAAACATACACTAGGTACTAAGATGCGTTTTAGAAATTAAAAGACGGGAAATGAGATACTGACAATCACATTTGTGCATCAGAATGTAACAAATAACCACACTTGTACATCTGGTCACCCTGATCGACAAGGGAAGGAAAATGTCTTGTAGATATCAGAATAGGAACTGTCAAGTAATAAGCCTTACTACAAAGAGGCAAAACAAACAATTTTAAAGATCTGATAAACAACAATAAATTTAACAAAAAAGCTTAATTGAGGGAAAGGAAAAAAAAAAAAAAAAAGACTCGCACAAATACAACAGAACGTTTTGACCATCAAAGGAGTACTAAATAAACAACAAACATGTTATTTTTGCACTTCATATTTTCAGCTAATCAATCAGGTGCCGTCTTCACAGTGAAGGCTGGTTGCAAAAGGACCTCTAACACGCTCTGTCTCTTGTCCTGGTTGTACACTCTCTCTGACTGCTGCCCGTCCATCCCTTGATGTTATCCTCCCACTTGTATCGTTGCCCGCCTCTTCCTCTCTTGTCTTCGACCTTTCTCTCCGGTATGGTTTTTAAAAGCGTGTTTTAAAAGTTGTGTCTTTTAATATGGTTAAAGTATTTCATTTGTCTTTTTTTTTAAATATCTTTCAGTAATTCTCTTTTCATCTGTAGTCTTTCCAGAACCTCTGTACTGGGCTATTTTTGTCTCCATGAAATATGACCTATTCTGTGATGGAAATTAAATAACGGACTAAGAACTATGCAATGGTTTCGTAAATGTGGACTTTAGGGAAAAGTCAAAGTCTACAATGAGAGGATAGAAAAACACGTAAGCCAGATTTGCAAGATACTGATGAAAATGATGAAAACCGCTATATAAGACAAAAGAGAGGTAGACACACGCTATTTTAAGTCAGGTTATGGTGAGAAATGAACCCAAGAAACAACAAATAAATAGAAAACTTGACGGGAAAAGAGCGAGGAGAGGAAAAAAGAGATGAATGCCTGGTGGCTTTGCGACATAATATAATCAAACAAAAACACACGCCTTTACTGAGACCGGTGATCATGTCAGGTGATTAACAATAACCACCTACTTGTGTCTTTGGCACATAATAATGATTATTGAATGCTTAGCAGCGTCAACACCTCAAAATTTATAGGAAAATGAATAAAAATAAAATAAAAGCTTAGGGCAGAACATTGTTTGCAGATCGTTAGTGGACCTGATCAACTAGCTGCTGCTATTTATAAGATTATAACTGTTCAACTGACAAATCTCCTAATACAAAGGTGATGTTCCATAGACGAGAGGACACTCCACAGCAGCAGTAAACATTTATTCACATACATGGAGACATCCGTTTCTCCCACAACAGTGTGATCTAACTATGTATGGAAACATAAGTGTCTCCCACAACAGTGTGATCTAACTATGTATGGAGACATCAGTGTCTCCCACAGCAGTGTGATCTAACTATGTATGGAGATATCAGTGTCTCCTACAACAGTGTGATCTAACTATGTATGGAGACATCAGTGTCTCCCACAACAGTGTGATCTAACTATGTATGGAGACATCAGTGTCTCCCACAACAGTGTGATCTAACTATGTATGGAGACATCAGTGTCTCCCACAACAGTGTGATCTAACTATGTATGGAGACATCAGTGTCTCCCACAACAGTGTGATCTAACTATGTATGGAGACATCAGTGTCTCCCACAACAGTGTGATCTAACTATACATCAGTGTCTCCCACAACAGTGTGATCTAACTATGTATGGAGATTTCAGTGTCTCCCACAACAGTGTGATCTAACTATGTATGGAGACATCAGTGTCTCCCCCAACAGTGTGATCTAACTATGTATGGAGAAATCAGTGTCTCCCACAACAGTGTGATCTAACTATGTATGGAGACATCAGTGTCTCCTACAACAGTGTGATCTAACTATGTATGGAGACATCAGTGTCTCCCACAACAGTGTGATCTAACTATGTATGGAGATTTCAGTGTCTCCCACAACAGTGTGATCTAACTATGTATGGAGACATCAGTGTCTCCCACAACAGTGTGATCTAACTATATATGGAGACATCAGTGTCTCCCACAACAGTGTGATCGAACTATGTATGGAGACATCAGTGTCTCCCACAACAGTGTGATCTAACTATGTATGGAGACATCAGTGTCTCCCACAACAGTGTGATCTAACTATGTATGGAGACATCAGTGTCTCCCACAACAGTGTGATCTAACTATATATGGAGACATCAGTGTCTCCCACAACAGTGTGATCTAGCTATGCTTTCTAGAGCAGGTTTTACCTTGAAAAAGTGTGTAGGCACGGAGACCTCCCCGTCACCAAGAACATCGTATTGCTTGATGGTCTTATCATCTTCAACTCTGAAACAACAAAATGTCAACATTATGGTTTTGGTAATAAGTTAAAATACTGACACCCCATCGACCAGAAGACATAAAATCACTGATAATGCCGGTCAGTCATAACTCACAGAAGTTAACAGGGATAGACCTATATTTTATAGACCAATCCGTACAAGATAAGTGATGTTTCAGCATCACGCCGACCGCCTTTACTTTCCGGGACTGCACCTGGTACCCACTCAAGGCTGGGTCGACCTAGGAGCCAAGGTCATTTTTAAAAAAGCCGTCGGCTCTGTTGCTAAGTCGATGCGAACGCTTCGTAATGCCGAAATGCTGTGTTTGGTCCCAGCTGTGGGCCATGCGCCTTGCGTTGGTTTCGACAGTGATATCAAGAAAGCCGACCGCCCAGAAAGCAATGGCAAACTACTGGACGTAAAAAACCACACAACAGCCAGGGGCTGTTGGGATTGGTTCTGCAACGTCCTGTAAAGGATACGCAACTAACCTATGGCTCCGTCAGGGAGGAAAAGCTGCCTTTGATTATATTAAGTAGTATCATAAATATATAAATAGATACTAAAAAAGAACACAAACAACTATTCACTATAAATGCCTGAGTAGGCTACTTGACCCGCTCACACATTTTCCAGAGGATTAGCCAAACAAGGAAGGAATGTCCATAGGGCTAGACCCAGAGATTCTCTAGGCGGAACAGCTGTGTGCTCCACTACCCGAGTGACCTTGCGTCCACAGCTCTGGTTCTCGCCGATCATTTTACGTACTCCGTTGCAAGAGAATCCTGCACCGCCAAAGTCACATACGCGTGTCCACACGGTCGCTAAGTGACACAACGTATTCTTTCCTTGTCAACACATCAGACCTGTATTAATCACACAGTACTTTACAATTACATAAACTTTCCTAAGGTAGCCAACCGTAGAACACGTTACCATAACGTTTTGAAAATGGTAATTAAATATGATATAAGCAACGCAGATCCGCCAAAGCACCAGAAATCATGATCGTCAAACCAAAACGCGAACACCCACCACCTACCAGAAGAGTAAATTCCGAAAAGTAAAAGAAGAAAAAAAAAAAAAAAAAGGGGGGGGGGGGGGGGGAGTGACTTTCATGGTAATAGTTAGTTAGTCTTTTCTCTGGTGTCGAGTGCGGCACATAGGGCAGAGGTCATGACTCTCCATGCATGGCGGTTCGTTGCAATCTGTTGTAGGTCTTGGATGTTTGAGTGGCCCATGAGCGAGCCTTCCCTGATGATAGTTCTACGTAGAGTTTCCCTTGGTCTTCCACGAGATCTTTTCCCCTGTGGTGTCCAAATGAGGGCTTGGTAAGGAAGTCTTGATTTATCCATTCTAAGGGCGTGGCCGACATAGTTCCAGCGGCGTTTTCGTATAAAATTAGACACATACTCTTGCCTGGATTCTTGTCTTATTTGTGTATTGGTTCGGAAATCTGACCATTTGAAATTTAGTATTCTTCTAAGGCATTTATTTTCAAAACTGTCTAATTTGTGTCTAGAGTTTTCGTTGATTTCCAGCTCTGGCATCCATAGGTTAGTACTGGAATCACACAAGAATTTAAGATCTTGAGTTTTGTGTGTTTGCTAAGTGTCATGGTAATACATACTGTACAAAAGGTTTACAATAACAGAAATTTGAAACCTTGATGCCTTTTTAAGGTACGTGTGTGAACAATATAGACAACATACAAGGAAGTGGCTGCAGGTGAAATAAAATGTTATAAAGTATTGGTTGAGGGTTTATGCTAAAACTTGGGAATGGGGTGAAGGTGGGAAGATAACAAAGAAGGCAGACTTAGTGTGATGGTGGGGTGTATGTGTACACGTGTGTGTGTGTATGTGTGTTTGCTTCGACACACGAGTGTAAGAACAATAACAATATTAGGCTACCACAAGCCGAACGCTAACAACACATACAGCTACTGTCACAGGCCTGAAACCAGATTATTATACGTACATTGGAAGGAACAATGGCCCAGAGCAGACGTAGACCCCTTTAGATGCACGAACAAGCTGCTCCCGTATGTAACATTCTAAATCAAACCACGCTCCACAGTTGAATCCAGGAACCTGTTTGATGACGGTGTCATACATGTACAATAACATTTTTTTAACATCATATTTAGAAATCAAATGTCTATTCTTACTTAACCTGAAGAATTTTGAATGTCGAATTAAGACTTGACATCACAGCACTCATAACAACCCTATAAAGCGCTCAGTCCCCATCTTCATCAGCAAGCGAAGAGTTAAAATTCCGATGATACCAGTAACTGTCTGATTGTATAGTCGTCTCCTCTTTTCTCTGAGTGTTGAGCGTCGGCCAGATCACCTTGCAACTCCTCGCAGTGTCATTGTCCTCAGACCCTAATGATCTTTCTGTTACTCGGCACTGTTCCCTCGCTCTCAAAGGGTCCTCACAACATCTAGCTTGCCATACACCAGTTCACCACCAAATGGTGTTAACCGGCCAGTCTATCTGCCTGCTCATTTCCCCACACACCGGCATACCTGCAGAGAAAATATCCAAAGGATGCTAACTACCCAGGACCTTTAAAGTGATGCTTGCCACTCTGCATGGAGCATGCCTGAAGAAAACAAATCTGAAGAAAACAAAATCCTTTCCAAATAATTGTAAAAGTCCGATGACTTGATGATAAACTGATACAAATGTTGTGCCATGGAACATGCAAATGTCAACACAACATTCTTGACACGAAATGCTCTCATTGTTAAAATGTGCGGTACACTAATAATGTAACATGCGGACATATTTATGTTTGAACATACATGAAACATGCGGACATATTTATGTTTGAACATACATGAAACATGCGGACATATTTATGTTAGAACATACATGTAACATGCGGACATATTTATGTTAGAACATACATGTAACATGCGGACATATTTATGTTTGAACATACATGTAACATGAGGACATATTTATCTGTGAACATACATGTAACATGCGGACATATTTATGTTTGAACATACATGTAACATGCGCACATATTTATGTTTGAACATACATGTAACATGCGGACATATTTATGTTTGAACATACATGTAACATGCGGACATATTTGTGTTTGAACATACATGTAACATGCGGACATATTTATGTTTGAACATACATGAAACATGCTGACATACTTATGTTTGAACATACATGTAACATGCGGACATATTTATGTTTGAACATACATGTAACATGCGGACATATTTATCTTTAAACATACATGTAACATGCGGACATATTTATGTTTGAACATACATGTAACATGGGGACATATTTATGTTTGAACATACATGTAACATGCGGACATATTTATGTTTGAACATACATGAAACATGCGGACATATTATATGTTTGAACATACATGTAACATGCGGACATATTTATGTTTGAACATACATGAAACAGGCGGACATATTTATGTTTGAACATACATGAAACATGCGGATATATTTGTGTTTGAACATACATGAAACACGCCGACATATTTATGTTTGAACATACACAAAACATGCGGACATATTTATGTTTGAACATACATGAAATTTGGGGAGATAATAATGTTTGAACATACATGAAACATGCAGACATATTTATGTTTGAACATACACAAAATAGGCGGACATATTTATGCTTGAACATACATGAAACATGCGGACATATTTATGTTTGAACATACATGAAACATGCAGATATATTTATGTTTGAACATACACAAAATAGGCGGGCATATTTATGTTTGAACATACATGAAACATGCGGACATATTTATGTTTGAACATACATGAAACATGCGGATATATTTGTGTTTGAACATACATGTAACATGCGCACATATTTATGTTTGAACATACATGTAACATGCGGACATATTTATGTTTGAACATACATGTAACATGCGGACATATTTGTGTTTGAACATACATGTAACATGCGGACATATTTATGTTTGAACATACATGAAACATGCTGACATACTTATGTTTGAACATACATGTAACATGCGGACATATTTATGTTTGAACATACATGTAACATGCGGACATATTTATCTTTAAACATACATGTAACATGCGGACATATTTATGTTTGAACATACATGTAACATGGGGACATATTTATGTTTGAACATACATGTAACATGCGGACATATTTATGTTTGAACATACATGAAACATGCGGACATATTATATGTTTGAACATACATGTAACATGCGGACATATTTATGTTTGAACATACATGAAACAGGCGGACATATTTATGTTTGAACATACATGAAACATGCGGATATATTTGTGTTTGAACATACATGAAACACGCCGACATATTTATGTTTGAACATACACAAAACATGCGGACATATTTATGTTTGAACATACATGAAATTTGGGGAGATAATAATGTTTGAACATACATGAAACATGCAGACATATTTATGTTTGAACATACACAAAATAGGCGGACATATTTATGCTTGAACATACATGAAACATGCGGACATATTTATGTTTGAACATACATGAAACATGCAGATATATTTATGTTTGAACATACACAAAATAGGCGGGCATATTTATGTTTGAACATACATGAAACATGCGGACATATTTATGTTTGAACATACATGAAACATGCGGACATATTTATGTTTGAACATACATGTAACATGTGGACATATTTATGTTTGAACACACATGTAACATGCGGACATATTTATGTTTAAACGTACATGAAGCATGCGGACTTATTTATGTTTGAACATACATGAAACATGAGGACATATTTATGTTTGAACATATATGAAACATGCCGACATGTTTATGCTGAACATATATGTAACATGCGGACATATTTATGTTTGAGCATACATGAAACATGCGGACATACTTATGTTTGAACATATATGAAACATGCCGACATGTTTATGCTGAACATATATGTAACATGCGGACATATTTATGTTTGAGCATACATGAAACATGCGGACATACTTATGTTTGAACATATATGAAACATGCCGACATACTTATGTTTGATCATATATGAAACATGCCGACATGTTTATGCTGAACATATATGTAACATGCGGACATATTTATGTTTGAGCATACATGAAACATGCGGACATACTTATGTTTGAACATATATGAAACATGCCGACATGTTTATGCTGAACATATATGTAACATGCGGACATATTTATGTTTGAGCATACATGAAACATGCGGACATACTTATGTTTGAACATATATGAAACATACCGACATGTTTATGCTGAACATATATGTAACATGCGGACATATTTATGTTTGAGCATACATGAAACATCATTTGCACCATCTCTTTTGTGCACCATGTGCATAATCAGGACTCCCCACCCCCCCCCCCCGCCCCCGGACACGCAAAAGAAGGATGCTTGCAGAAGTAGTGAAATGGCTGCCAGTATCGCAACAGCTATTGTAACTAGGGATGTACCGAATATTCGCTTCGTATTCGCTTCGGGGCCGAATTGTGGACTTAATAACTATTCGGTATTCGGCTGAATAATTGCGGTCGGGCCTAATACAAATAGTGGTTACCTTACACCCGTTTTGCATTCACTGCGATGGACTAAAATAACTCTCTCATTAACACAATAGTTGCTGTTGCCTAAGTCTATCCTAGCGGGAGAAACTGCCACCCGGTTGCGTGATAGAGCAGCTGGCAGGGTCTTTGCCTGCTGACTCGACCGAGGCATTATAGCAGAAGTTCTCAAACCTGGTGCGTATGCCAGAGGTGCACCGGCGAAAATCAAGAAAATTCGGCTATAAATGATGACATTATTAAGAAAGGCATTTAGATACTTAAAAGTTAAAATTTAAATTGTCTTTCCTCGCCACTGTCGAAAAGTGTTTTTTTTTTCCTTGTTTCACACTCAAAGTGTATTATACTGCCAAAAATGCCAACCGCGTCTTTGTATTTATCTCGAGGTGCGACTGATCCTCCATCTGTATTCGTGAAGGTGCAGCGGATAAGTAAGGTTATGATTACATTTTGGCTGAAATATTAAAGTGGAAAATGTGGTCTGTACAATAATCACTGTTAGCCTCAAGTAAGCACTTATTTTTAAAGGCAATGCGCTGTGAGTCCTGGACAATCGGTAGGCAGGCCAAACAATTTCTTGAGGCCTCAGAAATGTGGTTTTACAGAACAATGCTTAAAATACCCTAGACAGAAAAAAAAAAAAAGCAACCATGAAGTTTTGAAAGTTGCAGGAGCCCGAAGACAACTAATCGCAGACATCAAAATGGAGACAGTTATCATTTTTCGACCATGTTATGGGGACAGGGAAAATGGAACATCTGGTGACCACTGGAAAGATCTGTGGAAGGAAAGATAGAGGAAGACAACGAAAGAAGATTCTTGACAGTCTTGTTGCATGGCATGGAGGTGTGTCAGCACACGAACTAATACATGCTGCAGAAGACCGCAGATTGTGACGAGGCATATTCGCCCACGCCAGTCCGCAAGGCACCTGATGATGATGATACACTATTCGTATTCGTATTCGGCCGAATAATTGGTCCCGATCTTCATATTCAGCCGAAAAGTGAAAATCACTTTTCGGTACAGCCCTAATTGTAACAGAATAAATTCCCTGAACAATGACCAGGAAGCTCGGCGAAAACAGGTAAGGGGTAAGAGGGAGTCGGGATACACACAGAAATAACTGATCGTCATAACTAGAAAACTTGATTCGGGTAAGAAAGTTTTAAATGAGCGTCAAGAACTTTTTAAATTTAGTTCGGCTCTCCTTTCAATACCGGACGAGGGCTGGACGCGGGCTGGACGGCTTAGTTCAGTTTAGTGGGAGTTCTCTCCCTTGGCCGCACTGGAAACAGTGAGCGGAAAAGTCACGAATCAAAGAAGACAGTGAGGTCGACATCAGGGCTGCCAATGCTTGGTTGTGTCCCCCAGATCTGTTTTTTTTTTGTTTTTGACGCTGTGGGGAAATCTTTTTTTTTTTTTTTGGCCGATGTGTATGCTTTAATGACCGATAAATTTGCGTGGTTAGGGGTAGGGTTAGGGTTAGGGGTAGGATTAGGGTTAGGGTTAGGGTTAGGGGTAACCCTAACCCTACCGCTAACCCTAACCCCACGCAACACTACACGCAACCGTATGATGATAGGCAACTCTACACGCAAGAGTATGATGACTACGCAACCCTTCACGCAACCGTATGATGACTACGCAACTCTTCACGCAACCGTATGATGACTACGCAACCCTTCACGCAACCGTATGATGACTACGCAACCCTTCACGCAACCGTATGATGACTACGCAACCCTACACGCAACCGTATGATGACTACGCAACCCTACACGCAAGCTTACGCAACCCTACACGCAACTGTATGATGATAGGTAAGTATGTCATTTGTTTCGTGACTTTTCCGCTCACTGTTTCCAGTGCGGCCAAGGGAGAGAATTCCCACTAAACTGAACTAAGCCGTCCAGCCTGCGTCCAGCCCTCGTCCGGTATTGAAAGGAGAGCCTTTAGTTCATTTGTACTTGTAATAATCGGTTATAAACTATTTTTTCGAAGTGTTATTACAACTAAAATAATTTTTAGTTATTTTTTTCTTCTTCATATAATCTACCGTTAAAAATCGAATTAAAAGGGAGACATATGCATTTTAGTATAGGATGCGAACACATTCTGACCGAGATGCATCTCCATACTTTCTACTTCGCCTCGTGAACGCATTTTGTTTAGATAAAAATGTAATTCATTTGCCATATAATTTGGCGGTTTAATTTGGAAAAAAAAAAATTTGTTGAACTCTTCACCGTGCTTCTGTTTTAGTGATACGAATATTATAAATAAGGCAAAGAAAAGACTAGAAAAATCAACTGTTCAAGTTTGATTTTACGTTGTTAGTAAAGGCAAGCAACAAACTCGGTGTGTAGTCTTTCGCTGAGTGCTTAGTAATGATGCAAGGAGACCAGTTAATTACAAAAATATGCAGAATATGTTGCTAGTAAACTAAGTTCCCTAAAACGGATAAATGTGCGGTTAGACTGTGCAGCCAACAGAATGAATAAAGCTCTTAAAGTATCATCTATCTCTTTCTATCTTTTTTTACTCCACCAGGACATCACACAAGCGATAAACACCCGATGACACAAAGTGCCACCATATGGACGAGGATCACCGTGGAGAGGGTTCCAGAAACCGCGTTAAGCGATTAGACCATATTTATGGTCGGGCTATATTGCTGCCCCTGGCGAGAGCCAGAGTAGGGCTTCAAATAACGACAAATTGCATCTCACAAGGAGATGACTAGATACATTGAAATATCATAGAAATCAGCCATACTAACAGCGAAAGACAAGAAAGGCCAAATAGACTGACTGACTTTCTACCCTACCAGGACATCACACAAGCGATAAACACCCGATGACACAAAGTGCCACCATGTGGGTGAGGATCACCGTGGAGAGGTCCCAGAAACCGCGTTCAGACAATTGGCCATATTTATGGCCTGCCTATATTGCGGCCCCTAGCAAAAGCCAGAGTGGGGCTTCAAATAACAAAAAATAACATCCTAATAAGGATGTAAGAATATTGCCCAAACAATTGGAGAAATGCTTGTTAAACAGTTCCTTTTAGTACGGGCGCTTTTCATTGGCTGACGGGTGGTCGCCTGCTGGTCATTGGTCACGTGCTAATCTGAGCTGATTTGGGTCGCTTTTAGCTGACTTGGTGCGGGGTGATTTGTCTTGTTTGCCGAGTGGGTCTTCTTGAAATTTTTTTCAACGTCACACAGTTAGTTTAATAATTGACCGCCGCTTGTCTGACTTCTTCCGTTCGTGGCCTCTCTCTCATCTCAGTCAGGTTATTTGTTTGGGTCAGTTCTTTTTGAAGTTTAAGGTTAGCCTCCTTGAATTTTGATGTTTCGTCTGCTAGTTGCCGTTGCGTTTCTTTCATTTCTAGTTTTGTTTCTTTCACTTCTTCGAAGCTGTTCATTTCTTCTCCATCAGTTACTTGGGTCTATGTGTCGTTTCCAGTCGTCTGCTCCTTCTGTGATTAGATGGCTATGATTTCAGTCTTAAATTTCGTTATGTCAGAAATGTCGGCTTGTATTGGTCTCTGGTTTTCTAGCGATTCTTGCAATAGGCTTCTTAGGTCAGTCATCTCCTTTCTTTCATACGCTCGCTTGGTTTCAGTTGCGGCTTGTTAGTTTCCGAGGGACACAATTTCCTTTTTGAGTAGCTCAATCTCGTTTTAGAGTTTTAGGCGGTCAGCGAGCAAACGCAGATGTGAAACGAGCCCACGACACTCAAAGCACGAGGCAAACGGCTTGACGCCACAGATATATATATATATATATATATATATATATATATATATATATATATATATATATATATATATATATATATATATATATATATATATATATATGCTTGTTCTACTGTACGAAATGAAGTCTGAGATTAGGTTTAAAAAACTTGAACTGAAAACTTCAAGGAAAAAAATTTAAAATATTATTCTGTCGTAGGATGTTGTCAGACTAATAGGGAAAAATAAAAAGTTGGAAAATAATAAACTTGCCGTTAAAATTAAGTCAAATTTAAATTTTATGATAGACTTAAATCTCTATTTTCCTCATCTATCAATTGATGACTGGTCTTGGACGTTTACCAGAAATCCTTTCAATAATGACATTGATAAAATGATGTAGTCTATTCAAGAAGATACAATTAGGCTAACGTGTAAATTAGGGGCTAATGGAAATTGCACGTTCTTAGGCTTCTTTTTAGAAGGGTGGGAGGGAGAAAAAGGAAATAAAAGGAGGAGGAGAAGAAGAAGGAAGGGGAGGAGAACCTTAAGGAAGTGAGAAGAAGTAGAAGAGGAAGAGGTGAAAGAGGACGGGAATAATAATAAAGAGAAGAAAGAGGAGATGGAGAAAGCAGAAAAAAAGAGAGCAAAATAACAATAAGGTAGGGGAAGAAAAACAGGAGAAATTGAGGAGCAGATGGAGCAGAAGAAGAAGGTGGAGGAAACGGGTGAGACGGAGCAGCAAAAACCCCTACTAAATATTTTATATAGTCTTTACAGATAATGCAAAACAATGATCCAATGAGATTAAAGTTAGATACATACTTGGGGGACGATATTGGTCATGGTGAAACATTCACAGAAAGATTCAGGATCATAAGGATAATTCTCTGGCTGGGCCATCAAACCCATTTCGTACTCGGTATCGCAGTAATCTTTGGCGTCTGCCCGATGGTAACCATGGATACGACAATCTGGTGTAAACTTCGGCTTCTCCTTGTCTTCGTTACTAAATTTAAGCACAGTAATCGTCTAAATTACAAGCATGGAACAAGTAATATTTTAGACAAATAGAATTTTTTAGTATCGACAATAAGATTGTATTTAATTGTCTTCTTCAATTTGTTCAGCGGCTGTACATTCAGTCGTAAAGTTCTGTTTGTTCGTCCACAACTGGACTTTAGTCTTATCCCGGAACTTAAGTTTTGCGTGCACATACGTTTTAGGTTTCAGTGGGTCTACTCCCCCCCCCCCCCCTGTGCCTAAACGGGGTCCATACGAGGAAGGTTGTAGTAAATAATGAAAGCAGTAAAGCCTGCGCTAATGAAACATGAATTAAACATGTAAAGGAGAGTAAGAGACCTATACATGTATATTGGTACCACTTCTGCGTTCATGAAGTCCACAGCAAGATCATGACAATAAAAGTTTATTGGAATTTGAATGTAGTAAAAGATTTCCCTTCTATCTGCCAATATTTCAACAACAACAAAAAATTAGGTTCTGAAACAAGACTAATTATGGACGCCCTCACATAGACACACAAATTTTGTTTGTTTTAGTATCTAGAAGCCATGAGTTGTTAACCCTTAGGCTCGGTATTGTGGATATCGCAACCTTTCGGCATTGATTCCATTTTAAATACCGTAAATCTGGGAGAAATGTGGCTTTTCTGCCCAACCCCGGGAGTGAACCCGGACCACAAGGAGTTCGTCACCCGCTCACCGCTCAATCCGGTTTAGCAAACTACGCTAGAGAGCCGGGCCTGGACACACAAATCAATGTCATAACTGTATAATTATTTATTACATACAAATATACTTGTAAATATATTGAAAATACTACATTCTGTAAACGATTTTTTAAAAATACCCTTGAGTATATAAACCCTAATGAGACAATATACATAAGCAACGCATTCAATACTCGAATGAATACAAGCTCTTTACAGTTATTTGGCTGTGGTGGCTTCATGGATGCATTCTGTGGCATCATTTCCACAAACATTAAGTGTATGGCATTCACATGGTGAAACACAAAGCTGTTTCACATTGCTCCCTCAAGCAGTTTCCTGCTTCACTGTAATAGCACTGCGTATCACAGTCCTACAATGGTATGTGGTGTTCATTCAATGTTTCTGTTAACATCAGTGCTATGCCTGTTTTGTGGTTTGTGTTAACAAAGTGTAAAAATTCTTGTATAATTTCAAACTGGTTTCATTTGGTATTACATAATAGGAAAATAAATTCTGTATTTCAGCATGGATAAATCTGCCGTGGAATCAACAATAATAGCAAAGCACTTTGCAGTTTTCCTATCCTCTCGTGGGCTAGCGAGAAGAAGGTAAAGCAAAACAAGACGTAAGCGAGATAAGAACAAAGAAATATGGCTAGGACAAAATGTAGCAGTCTCCCGCTGAACAGCAAAAACAGTAAAAACCAAAGAAAACTAATTAAAAAATAAATAAAAAAAATTAGAGTTTTTCTATGTAGGGGCAAGGAAATATTGACTCTACTTTGAACTTCCCCATAAAATGGCGGCCGTAATATGATGGCACATTCTGGCCATAAAATATCCAAAAAATATCCGAACAGTGTTCACGTAAATCTAAAATACGGACTTTCTGCCAAGGAACAAATTGCGGCAAAACTAGGATTACTTGACAATCAATATCAACATTGCACACGGAGATGCGGTAGCTGCCGCTCGTGAGTCCCAGCCATCCAGTTTAGTCCTCATCCGCGCCGCTCGTAGCGGAGCGAGGGATACCCGTCGGCGGTGAGGGCACACTCGCAGAAGCAGGTCCGCAAGTAACGTATCGCCGAGACACTGTTAGAACATTTGTTTCGTTATGCTTAGCCGGCACATATATTTTTAGTAGAACTGAGCCCCATTGGGATATTTTTGGATATTATATGGACAGAAATTGGCCAATTTAGCTCTCTTTCGAACTGCATTATATTACGGCCGCCATTTTATGGTGAAGTTCAAAGTTGAGCCTTTATATCTAACCATAGACACACTACCGCCATATAGTTAACCAGTCTAACGTCGCTCGATCAGCCGAAACCCACGCTGCTGAAACCCACGCTGCTGAAACTCACGCTGCTAAAACTCACGCTGCTGAAACCCCCGCTGCTGAAACCCACGCTGCTGAAACCCACGCTGCTGAAACTCACGCTGCTGAAACCCATGCTGCTGAAACTCACGCTGCTGAAACCCATGCTGCTGAAACTCACGCTGCTGAAACCCCCGCTGCTGAAACCCCCGCTGCTGAAACCCACGCTGCTGAAACCCACGCTGCTGAAACCCACGCTGCTGAAACTCACGCTGCTGAAACCCACGCTGCTGAAACCCACGCTGCTGAAACCCCCGCTGCTGAAACCCCCGCTGCTGAAACACACGCTGCTGAAACCCACGCTGCTGAAACTCACGCTGCTGAAAGCCACGCTGCTGAAACCCACGCTGCTGAAACCCACGCTGCTGAAACCCACGCTGTTGAAACCCACGCTGCTGACACCCATGCTGCTATGCTCATGTGCGTGCAGTCCCCGCTGGGTTGGAGCTCCTGTCCCCGGGCGAACAGAGCGGCCAAAATGCGGAAAGCCGAATCCCACATTATCCAGATGTGTCGGTCTTTTATCAACATCTCGTCTCCTGGATTGCCAGGTTTTAATCAGTTGCATCCTAATCAAGTCGAATTTATCAAGGCTTTTGGCATTCTGCCATACTAACATGTCTTGCTTTACAAATGAAGAACACTAGAAAATGTACTTGAAGTCGTTCCCCCTTTTCTTGTAACTATGTCAGACATGACGACAATTTATAGGATATGCCTGAGAAAACCCATGACCCCTATCAACTTTAAACCAGTTTAAATGTACAATTTTTAAATTCTTTGTTTTTTAAAACCCCTCCCACCATTTCCTATTTAATAGAGGTCAAATCGACCGAGGTTGTTTTGCTGTACAAACAGAATATAAAGTATGAATTATATATCCAGTTTATTTTTCTGTTAACAAATTTGTACTAGCTTACCTTGCACATTGTGTTCTTTCAACTTTGACACGTCGGTCACATGGATCATCCTTGAACAGTTTGTCATACTGTAGATGCTCGTAAACCCAGTTAGGAATTCTGTTCTTTGAATCATATGAAATGATGAAATCCTTGAATCGCAGTGGTTTGCAGCATGCTGTTGGCTGGGGAAATCCAACTCTTCTCTTTATGACATCTCCCACATAGCATGGTTCTTTGTTATCTGCTGCATGCAGTGTTAACACACTGAGAACATTCGGTTTCTTGAGAACAAGCATGCTAAGGCCGCCGACAACAGTGCTTGCTGCGAAACGGGTTAAATGCAGCATTTTGCAAGGTGTACAGGAGTTCACTTTCTTTGAAAAAAAATAAACGAGTTAATACTGACCTAACAGTCTAACCTACGAGCGACCGGGAAAAAAGCGGCAGTTTTCAGCAATCCTAAAATATGGTGGATCTAGATTGCTGCTTACCCTTGGATGTGAGTATGGAGGCCGGCTTGCCACTAGCGTGACGTTGTATTGGAAGAACCCAGACGACAACTATGCGTTGCGAGAGAGAATGACGTTTCACTGAACAATTTATCTGTGGTGCTATACGGTGCATATTTGTGTGAGTGTTGCTTTGATTTGAATTGATTTGATTCAAGAACCGACATCACAGCCCCCGGGGCATTCTCATAAGCGCCCCGTCCCTATCTTCAGCAGCCAGCGAAAAGTTCCTATATTAATGGTGCCAGTAATATTCTGATTAAACGACCGTCTTGCCTTTCCTCTGAGCTCGAGCATCTACCAGAACCTCTCATCACTCCCACCTGCATCAATCTCACCAGACGGTGGTGATCCATCTGCTCTTCCGAACTGTATCCGCTCTCCCACAAAGCACTAACCACGTCTGCCTTATCATGTATGCATCAGTATTCCACCAATCTATGCAGAGCCAGACAATCTGTCCGCCTGTTCATTTCCCAACACACCGGTGTGCCCCGGTAAAAAAAGCCAGATCTACTCATCACCTGTGTCCTCCGCAGCGAGGCATGTCACTCTGCACAAAGCATACCTGTCCTGATCTTCTCAGCATGCTTTCTGAGTCTAGTTACAATCAATTTATGCGAGTGTGTGTGATTGTGTGAGATGATCTAAGTTAAAAAAAAAAAAAAAAAAGTAAATATCCCTTATTACGCCTAAGGTGCATCGAGTATATGGGCAGAGCGTCCCATATTTTTACAGACCTATCGGCACTGGATGGGTAATGTGGTTAGCATTATGCCGGCCGTCTTTACTTCCCCACGTCAGCCATCCTGGTACCCATTTGAGGCTGGGTCGACTTGCGACGCCCCATACTACGATAAAAATCCACGCAGCCAGCAATGAGTTTCGAAGGCGGTACGTTGGATTACGAGTCGGCTCGCAACGCCTAGGCCACGGACACCGCTGATGATCTAAGTGAAGTAGCCTAACTTTGCAGTGAAGAAACAGTCTTATTCTTCTTCTTCTTTATTTCCTCCCTCGGCTCTGATTATTGCTCTTCTTGCCCTTCTGGCCACCCAGACCAGACAAATCGTGCTGTTGTAGAGTTTCTCTGATGTTATCTTTCCATATTATTGTTAATGTACCTTGAGCTCTACGTCCTTATCCTCTTTTTGATTAGTGATTAGAAAGGATTATATCATCACAGCACTCCGACAGATCCATAGATGCTCCGATCTCCTCCTTAAAAGCTCCACAAGTGTAAAACGACTGATGACGCCTGTTCTGTGTTGGTTAATGAAACGTCTTGTCCCCTTAGTGAAAATTTTTTTTTGCAGCTCCAGGCTGCACCCCCATGTCCATCAGTCTAGACAGGAATACGGAGTCATGTACTCTGGCGTGCTCCTCGGTACGGTAAGTGCACCGCATGGCATTAATAACATCACTCCTGTCCAGTACAGGACCAGCCATAGCAATCGCAGTATCAGCAAGATAGTCTGCACGCTCGTTCCCTTGAACACCCGCATGACCTGGCACAAAGATGAAGGTTAGGGCAGCTTTTCATGAAGTGCTTAGTGAAGTGCAATAAATTTTGCCTGATAAATCCAGCTTGGATTTTTTTTAAAGGCATATTCATCGAGTCACTAAAAATGCATACGTGAGTGAACTCTTGAATACCAAGACATGCTAAAAGCCTTTGTTACAGCCATAGTTTCCATTGTCAGGCTACTAGTTGTAACATCAAAGGCGCTGTTCATCTCCTTGATGGTCCCCCCCCCCCACCCCTTTGAGCTTACTGTGAATCCTCATGCACTTCGCTTGCCCCGATTTACTGACCCATCTGTGTGAACTAATGCATCACCTTCATCTGTGTTTTCGTCAATCAGTGTTCTTACTAACGTGTCAACAATGCCAAGAATCTGTTTTCTTCAGCTTCCATCAAGTGTGATGTGGACTGTAATATTAAAGTTTGAAGGAGGAGGCATTATTATCCATTCAATACTCATTTGATTCACACCTTATATGGCCCGTCGCCACGAGGCGTTCTCTCTAAGTGGGAATTCATTTAGTTTGCAGTCTTTATATGTAATTTAGAATTGGTTCTTGCCGACTTTTCTCTTATGACCCCTTTCTTATTTTATCTTTTCTGGTCACTTCTGTGGCCTTTTTCAGACATCTCATTTCTATAGTTACTAATTTTGAAGAGACAGTGTGAGACAAAATCCAATAGACTGGTTTTTAAGAAACGACGACACTGTACACGCACATACCAACGTCCCGATGGGCACTCAATTTCCAAAAGTTAGGTTAGTTGCGTATCCTTTGCAGGGCGTTGCTGAACCAACCCCAACATCCCCTGGCTGTTGAGTGGTTTTTCTAGACAAATTTACGTCCAGTAGTTTGCCATTGATTCCTGGACGGTCGGCTTTCTTGACACCACTATCGAAACCATGGCCCGCAGCTAGGATTGCACCCGGCATCCAGGCATTACGAAGCCTTCGCATCGACTTGGTCACAGAGCCGACCAACTTCCAAAACAAAAACAAAATATGGAACGTTAAACTATATGATTTAACACTAAATTAGGTATTTTCAATCATACTGTTTTTCCAGTTTCAGTATCTATCAGTTAAAGCTGGAGAACCTTTACAAACAAAGAGCGAAAATGGAAGGCATTCGTTAAAAAAAAAAAAAAAAAAAACTTTTACTATATTGATGAACATTAAATTGGATTGTCCAAGAAAGGCGAGGAAAAAAGAGAGAAATGTCAAAGCGACCACTGGTATCTACAGTTTTAAGACAAAACAGATGGCGCTATACTTGGCACATTCTGAGGAGAAGTGAGCAGAGATCAGCAAACAGGCAATGAAATGAGAGATATATGCACTAAGGAGACGAGTACGTCTGAAAGAAACCCTAAAACGAACGACAAGAGGTGAAGCCAAAGGAGCTGGGCAGGATTCCATCAATGATATCGGCGCATTGCACAGGAAAGAGCGGAACAAAGGAACAGACTCGGAGTTCTCTATGATACATCATCGACGGTAGATCACAGAAGAAAACAACAAAGGAGAGCACACGTGTTTGGTTATGCAGGAAGCGTTTATACTGAAACTTTTCCTTTTCTCTTCAGAGGCTACTCATGTTCGGCAAGGCCCTGTACGGCAATGATATCTTCATCTCGCTGGGGAAAGTGTCTAGGCAACCAGACACTTGGAGTTGCTTCTACAGTCGGCGGCATCTGCGATTGGTTATTGTGGTTGGTGACATCTGAGGTATTCTGGCCATGCTAACTGTCATGGCGGCCTGGACAGAACGAGGATGGAGGGCGCAGTTTACGGAAAGCGATGCCAAGGACGACCTAAGCGAATGTTGATACAAGACACTGAAGATGCACTGGCTATAAAGCACACAGGGCTGGAGAATTGGCTAGAGAGAGAGAGAGGGAGGGAGAGAGAGAGAGAGAGAGAGAGAGAGAGAGAGAGAGAGAGAGAGAGAGAGAGAGAGAGAGAGAGAGAGAGAGAGAGAGAGAGAGAGAGAGAGAGAGACTTTCAGGAATACCGTAAAGAGGGCTACGTTCTGTAAAGGACCTATTGACTGATGATTGTTGCTAACGACATACTGGTGTCTGAGGCCGGCATTTGTGAATGGAACAGTGACATCCAGCAGGTGCATGCAGTCAGGGTATCAGCTGCTGCCCATTTCACGACCGTGAATGTTGATGTCTGTAGAGGAAAGACGGATGTGCGCAGGTGGCAGAGTTTGTGTGTGCCTTGGGAAAGAAACGTCTTCTACTGCGGAGACTTCAAAACCAGATGAAGCAGGCGGGGTAGTGCATCACCAATAAACAGGGATACGATCTGCAGGAAGCTCTGGTATCTGCAGAGCCATTATGTTTGAATACTGTACGTCACTAGATTAACCCCTTGAACAATGACTCTGACGGTGTCTTTACTAATAATGTACAAGTCACTAGATTAACCCATTGAACAGGGACTCTGACGGTGTCATTGTTAATAATGTACAAGTCACTAGATGAACCCCTTGAACAGGGACTCTGACCGTGTCATTGGCTTGGGTCTAGCATCATCCACAATCGCCCTTGCGGATGTAATACACTGGGGTAGCATAAAAACCTGCCTCTTATTGTCTTGGTCAAGAAGACCACAACAGGCAGCCAGAAAAACAAAATAAGTGCTTTCCACAATAATAGCACAGGGCAGAATGCTATCAGCACGGTAGACGTCGGGGAAAAAACCAAAACTCCCCGCTTTCCCCGTCTCCCTGGAATAAATAGGTTCGGCTACTATGATTGGAGGCAGAAGCTGACAGGACATGGCCTAAAAAGAGGCGGTTAAGGTACGGCAAAAGGCTTGGAAAAGTAATACGTCACAGTCTGAGATCCTGATGGATGTGAAAGGTAAATTTAACGATGGTTTTAAGCGATGTGCATAATGCGATGAAAGGCACTGCACGTCCGCGTAGTATAATGGGAATTACAGACATTTCCTTGAATTTATGAAAACGGAAATAATGTTTATATCAAAGAAAAAGATAACACCACATTGTGATATCTCAATTAAAGAAAAAAGACTTAACCAAGTCAATAAATTCAAATATGGGGGAACGATAATATCAGATGGAAAAATGTGACAGAGATTAAAAGCAAAATAGATCGAGCGAACGCAGCCTTTCAGAAAATGAAAAATATATTATGCAATAAGTCCCTCTTATTTAATGTCAGAAAAAGAGTGCTAAAACGGTTAAGTAGAACCTATTCTGCTATATGACAGTTAATTTTAGAGTGTCAGTGAACAAATTAAGAAGAATTTTGAAGCAACAGAGATGTGGTTTCTGAG